ATTCTATAAGACGGGGGGATGTAACGTAAGTACCACTGTTACTGGAGTAGACTGAGATTCAGTGTTACAGATATGTGATTCTATAAGACGGGGGGATGTAACGTAAGTACCACTGTTACTGGAGTAGACTGAGATTCAGTGTTACAGATATTAGATTCTATGAGACAGGGGAATGTGACATAAGTACCACTGCTACTGGAGTAGACTGGGATTCAGTGGTATAGATAAGACAGGGGGATGTAGCGTAAGTATAGTACTGTACCACTGTTATTGGAGAAGACTGGGATTTAGGGATATAGATATATTATTCCATAAGACAAAGGTATGTAACGTAAGTACTGTCATGACTGGAACCAGATTAGGATAAGTGGTATAAAGCAAGTGCATTTTGCTTATGCCGTGGCGCAGTGTCCGTCGTCTGTCAACTTTTCCTTTAAAATGCTACTTATCCTGAACAGCTTAGAGGATTTTGACCAAATTTGGTCCAGAGCATCATTGACCACAGGGTTCTCAATTTTGTGTAAATGGAGGGTATAGGCTCTCGGGGGGGGGGGGCAGGGCTAAGTAGTAAGAAAATAGGTGTAAATCTTCAAACATCTTCTTCTCAACTAACAGAAATATTTTTTTCCAGAGCATCTTTGGACAAAAGGGGCTTCAAGTTTGCATAAATGGAGGGTTTGGTCCCCTGGAGGTAGAGGGGCAGGCCCAATAGGGGAAATAGAGCTTAATATTTGAAATCCTTCTCTTTCCAACTGATTGGAGTGATTTTAACATTATTAGGTATAGAGCATTCTTTGGTAAGTGGAACTCAGGTTAATATAAAAGGTGTGTGGCTCCCCAGGGGGGCAGGGTGTGGCCCTGTAGAGGATATATGGAGGTAAATCAATAAAATTCTTTACCTTCCATATTCATTTTGTGGTTTTATCCCTACCCTATAACCAAATATACAATTTCTAGGCATGTAGAAAAAGAATAAATGCCACCAGGATTGGTCTTCCCTGGGACATTACATTGAAACTCATGTTCTTGGTGTCTTATACCCACCCAGTCAGATTTAGATCTTCTTCCAACTTGTTCTTTTGTACTCCTTAGATAAACTGGTATATATAGTACTCAGTTTTAAATTGAAAATAAAATACCAGGTGAGCTATTAAGGCCCCTGGGGCTCTTGTTTAATTTTCAACTGGCAATTTTATTTAGGATCTAACACATATGCCATAACTAAAATAGTGACAGTGTTTAAGAGAAAGTAAGCTATCAAAATGAATGTATAATAAATGATGTAAGAAATAGTAATATGGCACTGAATTAAAGTTAACAATATTTCTAAAGGGAAATTAACATGAAATTCCAATTGTAACAATTGTTGTAATATATCAGTAGTATCTTAAATATGTTTTCATTGAAATTGGTGAAATGAGTATAATGTTAGTGAAACATTTTTTTATACAAGTTACCTCTGACCAAGATTTTGGTGTCACCATTTTGACTGCATGCCAGTCATGGCATATGTACTGTTTTCTATGCACATCATGCATAATAATTATTATTGTCATAACATCATGTTAATGGTCTTCTTCTGATTCCACAATGTTGTTACTACAAGGATAAAATGCAAAAAATACAACATGGGTGTTTTCCCTGCATAACATGGTTGTCCTGTACTGATCAATTGAAACCAATTCTGATTCTTCTTTCAGACCAAAGAATGCAGTAGTTGGTATAAAGCGGAAGATCACAGCAGACAATCCTCACGTGGCTCTTTTTGCCCTGCAGGTAGAGTAAAGATTAGTAAAAAGTTATATGGGTTAGCTTAGCATTACAAATAATTACAGGAAGTGAACAGAGTATTGAAGATGTTGAAGTGAAAATTTATACAAAACTAAGAAAATTTACGAGCACAGAAGCTATTATATTGACACATTGTTTGCACGATAAAGTTCTGTGTTGAGTTCTGTATGGAGAATGTGCAAATATATTGAACAAAGCTAAAATATTAACACATGCTATTGGTTTTGAATAGGTATTAGAGTCATGTGTGAAGAACTGTGGAGGTGCAGTCCACCAGGAAATTGCCACAAAAGAAATGATGGAATTTATGAAGGATCAAGTTAAGGTAAAGGGAGACAACTCCACTGAACTTCAAACATTCCAGGGGACACGTTACTATTTCAGTTCTTCTACATCTGTTAACACTATTTCCTTCATTCTGCATTACTGTGCTGGCTATTCTGAAGAAAGTTTTATAAAAATTGAATTTGACTTCTAATAGAGATCTGAAATAAAACATGGTTGTTGTGCACCAGTGTTTGGGGGAATAAAACAGGATAAAAATATTTCCAGGTCCAGATTTTGAATCCTTCTTCTTTACAATGAAGTCTTTACTTTCACCGTTACAAAATAGTATTCATTTTCAGGTATGTATATTCCCTTTTCTAGTTTGATATTGATACGTCACTCAAATAGACAACCACTGATGGGTAGCACCTCAAATATGTCAGGTGTAATATCCTAAACTGCTTTTAGCCACTGAGTTTCCTGATCAGTCAAATCAGTGATGTAAAACCTCTAATGGTTAAATTAGTGTTGTACAGGTAAATGTTGCACTAACTTCTTAGGAGTGATCATGATTGGCTAGAAATATTGGATTTAGAGTTTATAACTTCCCTGTAGATAAAGATGAAGAGAAATATATTTAGTTCCTTGTTACATAAAGATAATTATGCAGGCTTAGTATAAGGAAGGACAACTGTTAATTATGCTTGTTAGATGGTCTAATAAACTACTGGAAAGTTCAAAGTTCAAAACAGGTACATATCTATTTGTGTGAATATATATACATCAAATAAAATTTGTTCAGGTATGTTGGTAATTTTGAAATACAGTATCAGTTATATAATTAATATACACATGGAGCCCTGTCAAAACAAAAACTCCTAAAGTTACTTCAGATATTTATTGTACTGATCAAGCTTACATCATTAAATTCACAGGCAAGACAAGACCCTGTGAAAGCAAAAATCCTTGAGCTGATACAGGTATGGTCTCATGCGTTTCGTAATGAGCCCACCTATAAAGTTGTCCAGGACACATTCCACCTGATGAAGATGGAAGGTAAGGCACAGTCTACATTTATTTTTACTGACAGCTGTTTTTTATCTTGTAAATATATGCCTCACCAGGAACATTAAGGACTTTCCACCCTTCGTAATACACATGTTTTTCTTGTCGTATTTTCGTGTCGTCATTTCTGTATTGCGTATCGGGCATTCCATTACCGTAGTGTAAATTATAGTAACACCGGGTAAACAATAGTACACGTGCGTGACGTTATATGTCAACACCTGATATCGAGACTTAACTTGGAAATGTGTAATCACACGTACTTCAGAAATAAAGCTTATGATACAAAGACATTAATTAACTCATGGGAAAACACTGACATACAATCAAACGACTTCAAGAAGGTCGTGTATGAGGCGCATGGAATGCAGACTGATGTGTTTTGTTTACCGACCTCACCTGTACGTATCACGTGCTAACAGTAGTTCACAAGCTCTTGGTCGCTACGACTTTTGTTGTCGAGCGAGTTACGCTCTGTCTCATCAGGATCAAAATAATTGTAAAATAAATTAACTATAAAGACTTTGTGTGTATTTGGTTCAATTAATCACTCCTTTTGTATGTAACTATGTGTCCTGTTTCCTTTTGGCCTGTAATTAGTAACTTTTATCCATATAGTTTCAATAAAAAACGCTTTTTGTAACATGTTGTAGATATTTTATGATAAATAAAATATTTGTAGGGTTGATTAGCAATGTTTCTTTTCATTATTTTATTGTTGTAATAGTTTTGAACAATATGTCACTCGCTCAAAAAATGTGGAAGTGTTGAATTTGACAAAAAATTCAATTTTTCAGTATTTTTAGCTCACCTGGCACGAAGTGCCAAGTGAGTTCGTGCCAGGTGAGCTTGTGCCGTGGTGCGGCGTCTGTCGTCCGTCCGTCCGTCCGTCGTCAGTCGTCCGGCGTCAATATTTTACTTTAAACGACTTCTTCTTAATAACCAAAAGGCCTAGGGTGATGATATTTGGCCAGAAGCAAAATATGTGAAAAACTTTAAACATCTTCTTCTCGATAACCAAACTGCCCAGGGAGATGATATTTGGCCAATAGCATGCTTGGGTGAAGGGCTACCAAGTTTGTTCAAATAAATGACCTTCAATTATATTCAAGGTCACAGGGGTCAATTGTCTTAAAAAACCTTTAAACAACTTCTTCTGAATAACCAAAATGCCCAGGGTGATGATATCTTGCCAGTAGCATGCTGACATGAAGGGCTACAAAGTTTGTTCAAATGAATGACCTTCACCCATATTCAAGGTCACAGGGGTCAAATATGTTAAAAACTTTAAACAACTTCTTCTCAACAACCAAAATGCCCAGGGTGATGATATTT